AGGTTGCCCCGCCGCAGCGCTCCCACCTCCAGGTACTTGGGGAGCAAATGCCACAGCAGCAGGGAACATTGCCCTCCCGTGCTTGAGGAGCAAGCCTCAGTCAGGAGTTTCTCGCTCCAATATGCACCTTCCTGGAGGCAGCGGTGTTTAGAAGTCAAAAGACCAGAGATAAAACGTAAGAGCAGCTCCGAACAGGCTAATTCGGAGCCGCACTGGGGAGCAGAGGGATGCTCAGGGACAAGCCCTGCGGCCACGCAGCGCTGGCACCAAGGGCCACGGGGCTCTCCAACAGGACTAGGCTGTGTCACTGGTTTATAGAGGGTGAACGTGTTCGGGAGGACCATTTCTTCATTTAACACTCCATCGAGTGCAGCAGGTCCTCCCTCACCCGCTCCCGGGCAGGACACTACCGCAGAGCACAGCCACGACACGGGGACCGCCTGCCGACCAGCGCCGCAAAGCCCCATCTACCGCTGCTGTCTTCTACGGGTTTTCAAGAGTTAAAATGACATCATGCACATCTCCGAATGTGCACCGGCCGCGCTGGGTATTGCAGTTACCGGCTTCCTCTGCAACACTGAGATACGCCAGACGCTGACCTTCCCAGCGCGAAAACCATTAGCTGCCTCAGCCAGAAACCTCTAGCCGGGGTCACTTCTGCCGCTACCCACGTGGGCTTCCCGGAGGTTTCGCCACGCGGAGACAAGCCTTTCCCCTCCACAACCAGCTCTGCCTGGCTCCCTGAGAAGAGAAAAGATCCCCTCCAGTGCGCTGGGGACGCGGGAAGGCAGGTATCGCTGCCAACGGAGGAGGCATAGAGAGCATCTCCGAAACACCCGCCAGGCGTTGGTCGAAGTTTGGAGGACTGACGCACGCCTGCGGGAGCAATACGGGAACTATTTTTGTTTCTTCTTTTCATTTGTGATCGTGTTCGCCTTCTGCTAGCGCTCCTTTGAGATGAGACCTTGCACCCGATAAGGTGAATCAGACCTGCAGGATTATGGCTGACTCCCCTCGCACCCCGTGCCTCACCGGGACCACGGCTGCGCCCTCGTCCGGCACCCGCACGGTCCCGGTCCCGCAGAGGGGCTGGCAGTGCCTGCACCCAGCCCCCGGGCTATCTGCAGTATCAGGTGTAAGCGGGTGTTTTGGAGGTGTCTGTCGCTATGCATGCATTTTAAAAACCTCAAGAAGAGGGCTGAGCTGCCGGTGGCGCGGTGTGGCTACCTAAGTCCCGCCTCCGCCGGGAAACGGGCACGGTAGCAGCTCTGCACCCACCAGCGCGCTGGGGAAAAGGAGGGTGCCAGGAAGCACCGCAAGAGCCAGCAGATAATTATCGCTTTAGGATCTGCAGACAACAGAGTGCAAACACCAGGAAAGATGCGTTACAGCCATAATTACAGCCTGGTCCCAAGCAAGCGCACATCTACGGGAGCAGCTGTAAGAGCAGATGGAAGAGAAAGTGGCAAATGCCGTTTGCACGGCGCCGTGGCCCTGCCTGCGCCCCAGCGTTACCTCCCAGCCGGCTCGGCGGCTCCGCTCTCTCACTGGTCACAGTGCCAACACCTCCT